AATTATCTATTACATACTTTCCCAAGGTTACTTATGTGAAGACAACTAAATAAAAATAAAGAACACAATGCAAAAGACCACAACTGTATATACTAAGAGTAACCAAACTATAACTTCAAAATCAAAAAGGCTATAACCACTTATAGTGTGGCCTTGGGCTAATCATTAGTTTCTTTCTTTTTTAAGATCTTATTTATTCATTTGAGATGGTGGTGGGGAGGGGAGAAAGAGAGAGACAGAGAGAGAGACAGAGACAGAGAGCATGAGCAGGGGTAGACGTAGAGGGAAAGGGAGAAGCAAGCTCCCCTCTGAGCCGGGAGCCCAACGTGGGACTCCATCTCAGGACCCGGAAATCATGACCCGAACTGAAAGCACACGCTCAACCATCTGAGCCACCCAGGCGCCCCGGGCTAGTTATTTCTTTCTCATTTCCTCAAGTGAAAAACAGTCCCAGAGCAGAAGACCAGTCCATATCTAAGGTCCACAGACCTAAAGAATTCATGGACAGTTTATGAATATTCCATAAATTCCTTTATATTATGTGCAAAATTTTACATATACATGCAAAATGTATTTATGCACAGTTGACCCTTGAACAACATGGGTCTGAACTGCACAGATCCACTTACTTGCTGATTTTTTTGGATACAGTATAGTACTGTAAATGGATTATCTTCCTCATGATTTTCTTAACACTTTTTTTTGTAGTTTATTGTAAGAATTCAGTATATAATACATATAACATACAAAATGTGGGTTAACTGTGTTATCGCTAAGACTTCCCAGTCAACAGTAAGCTATTAGCAAAGTTTCTGGGGCATCAAGTGGCGGACAGGGGCGGGGGGCGGGGCAGAGGGGATCCCTGGGTGGCTCGGCGGTTTGGCTCCTGCCTTAGGCTCAGGGCCTGATCCTGGGGTCCTGGGATTGAGTCCCACACCGGGCTCCCTGCGTGGAGCCTGCTTCTCCCTCTGCCTGTCTCTCTCTCTCTGTGTCTCTCATGAATAAATAAATGAAATCTTTAAAAAAAGAGAGAGAGAGAGGTAGAGACACAGGCAGAGGGAGAAGCAGGCTCCCTGCGGTGAGCCTGATGTGGGACTGGATCCCGGGACCCCAGGATCAGGCCCTGACCTGAAAGAAGATGCTCAACCACTGAGCCATGCAGGCATCCCAGGGCATAAAAAGCTTTAAGTGGGTTTTCTACCGTGCCAAGGTCAGCATACTCCTAATCTCTTCATTATTCAAGGGTCAACTGTACTTTTTTACTTCTATTTATAGGGAATTAGGTCCATAACTTTTTACAGGTTTTCAAAAGGGGGGGGGGGCGTGTTCCAAAACAGACTTAAGACTAAACATATACAGTCTGTTCTACCTCTAACATCCTTTTATCTCCTCTTATACTTCCTGGTCCAAAAAGAAGGGAGTCCTCATGACTAAACCCAGTCAAGAATAAACAAGTTACCCTGGCCAAGAAATTACTCAAAATAACGTATTCAAATTAAAACTGAACCTGAATTGTTTTTAGGTGACAGACTAACATTATAATACTTAAAAAAAAAAGTTTTCAAGCAAATGTTAATACTATAGCTCTTCTCAGGAGGCTTACATGAGAACAGAAGTCCTCAGGTACGTTAGGGATATCCCACTATATAGTTCCTCTCTTACCAGGTGCACATTTTAAAAAGGTAAAGCTTCTAGTTTCCTACTTCTAATTCTATCCTGTACCAAAGAAAGTAACAGGAGACAAGTACAGAGGAAAAAAACTGGAGCATGGAAGATTGCAGTGAAGGAGACCGATAAGCAACCAAAGAAGCTACCCATCCTGTTAGCAATATATGAGAATGGTCACTGCCTAGTATCTCAATTTGTAAAAAGTATATTAGACAAAAGAAGAAATTAGCCTCCCACTAAGACAATAAGAGAAAAATGCGTGTCTGTTACTGAACAACTTAAGCCTAAAATTTTTAGGTTCTCATGGCAACCTAAGTCATCACACTGCACATACTGTATATAAAGCACATATTTAGAGTCTTAACTAGTAAACTCAAAATGTGACATATGTGCAATGTGGGCGACAATATTATTCTGGGAACTTTAACTTTAAAATCTTCCAACTTTATTCTGCAGCCCCAAAGATGATATAATAGAGTGAACTATGCAGAAGATGCAAGCTCAAGGAAGAGGTACAAAGAACATAAATAGAAGCAAAGAGATGAAAGGCAAGAAAATCAGGCTATCAGAAAAAGTTTCTGAACATGACTCCCCTACTGTGAATCAACCTGTAAATGGAGGCTTAAAAAACAAGACTGCTAGTGAGGACACATATTAAGATAGCATTTGGGACAGTCCTTCATGTGGGTCCAGACAAAAGAGGACACGGTCACAGACCAGACAGACTGCTCGGTAAACATGGCACTGACTGAAAGGTCCCTGGAGAGACTGGGGTTCTCTTTCTCACTCTTTTCTAGGAGCTCATGGACTATGGCCACTTAGAATTAAGAAGTAATTTTCTGGGGTGCCTGGGTGACTCAGTCGGTTGAGTGTCCAACTTGATTTTTGACTCAGGTCATGATCTCAAGGATGTGAGATCAAGCCCCGCATAGGGCTCCATGCTCAGTGGGGAGTCTGCTTGAGATTCTCTTTCTCTCTCTTCCTCACACTATCTTTCAAATAAATAAGTAAATCTTTCGCTCTCCTTTAGCAACCCAAGATGCAGAACGGGAAGAAGCCAAAGTGGAAGATGGTGGCCCAGTGCCCGCGACTGTGAAGAAGCAGGAGGCCAAGAAAGTAGTCAATCCCTTGTTCAAGAAAAGGTCCAAGAATTTTGGCAACGGACAGGACATCCACCCTAAAAGAAACCTTACCTGTTTTGTCAAATGGCTGTGCTACATCCAGCTGCAACGGCAAAGGGCTATTCTCTATAAACATCTAAAAGGGCCTCCTGCGATTAACCAGTTACCCACGCTTTGGACTGCCAAACTACTCAACTGCTTAAGCTGGCCCACAAGTACAGACCAGAGACAAAGCAAGAAAAGCAGCAGAGGTTGTTGGCCCCAGCTGAGAAAAAAGCTGTGGGCAAGGAGGATGTTCCCACTAAGAGGTCGCCCGTCCTTCGAGCTGGGGTTAACACTGTCACCACTTGGTGGAAAACAAGAAGGCTCAGCTGGTAGTGATCGCACACAAATGTGGATCCCATTGAGTTAGATGTCTTCCTGCCTGCCCTGTGTTGTAAGATGGAGGTTCCCTAATGCATTATCAAGGAGAAGCCCAGGCTGGGGCATCTGGTCCACAGGAAGACCTGCACCACTGTTGCCTTCACATAGGTTAACTCAGAAGGTAAGGGAGCTCTGGCTAAGCTGGTAGAGCCATCAGAACCAATTACAATGACAGATATGATGAGATCCACTGCCACTGAGGAGCCAACATCTGGGTCCAAAGTCGGCAGCTCGCATCACCAAGCTGGAAAAAGCAAAGGCTAAAGAACTGGGCTGAGTGGACGCTGTCGAATTTTCTGTACATAAAAGTAACAAAAGGTTCTCTTTCAGCCAGTGTCAAAAAAAAAAAAAAAGCAAATCTTAAATTTAAAAAAAGAATTAAGAATTATCAGAGCCTTGGGACGCCTCAGTGGCTCAGCGGTTGAGCATCTGCGTTTCCCTCAGGGCATGATCCCGGGATTCGGGATCGAGTCTCGCATCAGGCTCCTTGCAGAGAGCTTGCTTCTCCCTCTGAATATGTCTTTCTCTCTCTCTCTCTCTCTCTTTTGGAAAAAAAAAAAAGAATGATCAGAGCCAAAAGATGGCTGTGGGGCATGAGAGCTGTGAGAGAGACCAGATTTTTTTTTTTAAGATTTTATCTATTTATTCATGAGAGACACAGTGAGAGAGGCAGAGACATAGGCACAGGGAGAAGCAGGCCTCATGCAGGAAGCCCCATGTAGGACTTGATCCCGCAACCCTGGGATCACACCCTGAGCCAAAGGCAGCCACTCAACCACTGAGCCCCCCAGGCGTCCCAGAAGAGATCAGATTTTAAAATGGGGGGGGGGGGTAGGAAGAGATGATGGTCTTTAATGCCACATCATGTCTCACTGGGGAAGCAAATAAAGCTGTAACAACCAATTTTCTTCCTTATTAAATCACCTATAGAAAAAAAAATAATAAAATTAAAAAAAATCACCTATAGGAGGGATATCTCCACCTATCTGCCAATAGGAACTTCATTATGATCCATGCATTTCTTTTGAAAGACTTGAGGATGCTATGAATGCTACCTACCTTAAAATCACATTTCCATGCCACTTCTGTTAAGGGTAAATTATTCTTACTTTTCCATAAGAAAACAGGTAAACAGTTTAGCTAAGGTACACAAAAAATATCTAACAGCAGGGCAGTTAATAGATGTATCTATTTTCCTGACTCTCAACCTAAGAACTTCTAGAATGAGATACTGAATTTACATGACTAATTTAATGATTAGAAATTATATTACCCCATGGAAAAAAGTGGCTACAAAAATAAATTATTTCATTATTGTTATGAGACTGGGCCTCAACAAGCAAGAAAGTCCATGAAAAGAGCACAGCATCTACAGTATGGGCTGGTAGCCCAACACTGTCCTACCACTTAATAGCTGGATGCCCCAAATAAGTTATTCTCCTCACGGAGGTTCCTAACACCTCCAGTATCCTTGTCTACTAAATGGTAAAGATGCAACCATATCTCTCTTCTTCCATCCCACTCCTGTCTCTGTCTCTCCTCCCTCTTCCAGCAATGTGAAGTCTTATAATTTCTTTCATTACACTATAATTTGGCATATTTTCTAATCAAGAAAAACTTTGTAAATAAACTTTTACACAAAAATTTACTGGTCAAATTAAGAGCCAGAACAACTAAATAATAATTATGTTTTAGAGTAAAAGGAAAAGGGGACAGGGGATAAAGCTAGGATTAGAGATTTCTTTCAGAGCCAGGCCATACCTACTAATGACTAAGATATTTGATTACCTTAATTACCTTGGCTGCACAACAAGTGCTGGTGGTCATGAAATTCCAGAATATTAAAAACTCAGCCACATTTTCATTATAGCATTCTCTACTGTGTTGAAGTCAAGACAGCAAAAGACTGCCAACAGCATTTTCACTTTAATTTTCTGGTAAGACAAAAAGAAAAGTTAATCTTGGAGCCAAATTCTCCATTTTTAGGTATGGTAAAGTCTTCGAGGAAAAAAATATCTGTTATGAGAAACTGAAAACATTTCTGTATATCTTAGAAAATATGCATATGTGCTTTTCTTAAAAGGTATAAAAAAAATCTCAGGCTAATATTTTTTTTTTAAAGTAGGCTCTACACCCAACGTGGTGGTGCTTGAACTCACAGTCCCGAGATCAAGAGTCCACGTTCCACTGACTGAGGCAGCTAGGTGCCCCTGCAGCTAAAAATCTTTTGCTTATCTATTAATACCTTTCAAGCAATTCTGAAAGAGGAAAAGTGAAATAAAAGCTGAAGCTCTCTCTGACAAGAGCATTTGATGACTGGCATACTGAGCAACAAGCCATCCAAAAAGTAGAATAAGGGATCCCTGGGTGGCTCAGTGGTTTAGTGCTTGCCTTCAGTCCAGAGCATGATCCTGGAGTCCCAGGATCGAGTCCCACTTCAGGATCCCTGCATGGAGCCTGCTTCTCCCTCTGCCTGTGTCTCTGCCTCTCTCTCTCTCTGTCTCTCATGAATAAATAAATAAAATATTTTTTTAAAAAAAGGTAGAATAAAAAGTGTTTTGGCATTGTAATTAATAATTGCCTAAAATAATGTTAGTTTTGAACCCAAAACTCACTTTCATGTGAATGAACTACTCTCTATACAAAAACATTCATAAATTCACCACAAAAGTACAAAACCACTTGCCTATTTGGCTTTGATTTTGCTTTTAAAATATACTGTGGCCTCCTGATACTCTAGCTTATAATCAATTTCATCTTAATAAAGCACATTATAAAATACCTTAAGCTGAATATAGCATTTATCATCTCTTCCCTCCAACCCATTAAGGGACTGACTAGCTTGTTCCAAATATGGCATTACCTCTTCAAAGTTCTAGGGTTTAGGCAGGACATAATTCTTTTAAATAATTATCTATCTTGTCATGACTGACAAGCATGACTTAGATGGTAAAGAAGCTAATGAAAAAGGTCTGATTTTGAATTGCTTTTTTATTAGAGGAGAAAAACAAAACATATAACTTTAAAATTTCCCATGTAAAACTATCTTCTCTTTGAATTCAGGCAGTGGGGTTCTTGCTAACTAGACAGATAACCCCCACGTGAGGGAAGAGCCAGAGGCTGCCTGTCCAAGATGGTGCAGAATGCACTCCTTTGCTGGGTAGAAAGTTTCTCTGCATAACCTCTAAAGGTTCTTTCCTAATCTTGGAAATTGAGACTTCATTTTTGAAAAGTAGAAGCATGGTAAATGTAAGGTGTAAGTAGAAACAGCAGAACAGTAGAATGGAAAATTAGAGGGCCTGAGCTGGACCTTGCTTCTGCTTCTATATGAACCTAAATTCGGCATTTAACTTCCCTTGTTTGCAAAATGAAAGGATTAGAGAATAAAAAATCTTTGAAGATTCTAACCTGTGCCTATGGCCTCGTCCTGTGCCGGCCTCGGCCACCCACTACCTTCCCACTGCTGCACCTTACCATAATTAGGCAGCTTTTTAAAGCATCTAATTAATGGAACACAGAAATTAAAACCTTTAACTTTCTATTTCTGGCTCATTTCAAATGTGCAATAGCATTTTATCAAGGAGTAGTTAATGCCACACAGTTCTTGATATACTGGCTTTTCTCTGAACTCCAGTGACAGTTACACAGTGACAAGTTGTAAGCAAGGAGGCTGTTACCATGGGGACCCACTAGGATTCCTGGGGGTGGATCCAGCAGGCCTTTTTTTTTCCCGGTCCAAAGCATTTTTTGATATTCTGAATCTGGCAATTCAGAAAGCTCTGATTCAATTTTTCTTTAGCAAGCTATCTTCAAGAAATATTACCATGTAGTATATACAATGTTGAAGAAATATTAGAAACTGTTTTAGTAACTCTCTCTTAAAATAAAATACATTCACGTCTTTATCTTCCCCCATTCATAAAAACAAATAAATACAAACTCCATAAAGTTTCAGTGACCTATGTATGCTATTGTTTCCAGATCACCATTTTGCATACAATACACTTAGAATTTTTCCTATCAAGACTTGAGTCTTCCAAAGCAAGTTTCTACATGATCATATTCGAAATATTATATATTTTAATATATTAGAAATATATTAGACACAAAAAAATAAGATGGATTATAAAAGAAACTGGACAAGAATAAAGAACTGTACATTTAAATTCCAAGCCTGCCTCCAAAATTGCTGTGTGTGGCAAAGAGATGTATGTCAGGGAGATGAACTGCTACTCTCAGCTAAATGCGTGCTGCCACTCAGCTTCCCCTGAGACCCATACCTTTAGAAGATACCTTAAGAAAACAGTTTACAAACCTGTCTGTGGATCTGGTTTGTTCATAAAAGCTGGAACAGTCAGAACTTAAAAGAAAACATTTTTCTAAGTTGTACACTTCCTGGAACAGAGTGAAGTCTTTCTCTAGGTCTTACTTTTAGACCAGAGCAAAATTACAACAGGCAAATGAACATTAATAAGTAAAAACAGCACTTGATTTCAATAAAGAAGTTTGCAGGCTTTTTTTTTATTGTACTTGTAAATGTATCAAGGCTATTAAACAAAAATAGCATATGATAAAAACAACAAATATAATAAACGTGGTCTTTCCATGATTATTTACCATAAATCTTAAAGTAGTACAGAAAGACAAACCTAGAGCAAAGTTTTACCACATTAATACCAGCCTAAAGACATGAAAGAAGAGGGACTCAGAACACAGGACATGAGAGGAAGCAAACTCTTGGGTGCTTTATTCGTTTTTACTACTGGTTTACAATTTCCTTGATTTTATTTTTAAATGCATGTCTTGGCCCAGAAAAGCAAGAGAGCACAGACTGCCAGCAGTATCAGATTCTCCTTTCTTATTCTCTGGAGCTACAGAAAACAGAGCCAGAATCAGGGTTGTCTTGAAGCCTTCTGATTTTGTCCAGGCAATATACACAAGGTTTCCAAAGGACACAAGGCTTTTACAGTACAAATCTTAGCCAACTCAATATCTTTCAATAGAAAGCTGCTTTCATTTTTTTCAGAAAACTTGAAGTACTGATTATCTTCAAGACAATGATTTGAACAAATAAGAAATTCTTGCAATTTCAGTGTTTAAAGATTTTCTTTCTATTCCTCAATACTGAACTGTCTCAAAACGTAAAATTAAAGTGCCATTCAACCAGACATGGAATACTTAAAAATTATTTATCAAGTCTCTATTTTGCTCAAAGGCCCAATAGTTAGTTTTCCACTGAGAACTAACTATGGACAATAAAACTTCTATGCAGAGCATTCAGCTCAATATCATTTGTGTAGCCCATAAAGGTGTAACACTGGCTAGGCACCAGTCACAACAATTAGGCTGATCTCCAATATGAAATAATATCTTCCAGCTTTTTCTACCCTGCAAATGCATTCCTTCCTGACTGTATACAAATCCACATTTCAAAGTTGGCTCCAGTCTATTTTTAATTCCTTCTCCTTAATATTACAGGGAAATTTTACATTTTTCTGGAATAAAGTCTTTCAACTTAATACCAAATGATCATAGGAAGAAAAAATTAAAAGCATTAAACTATTTTTCTCAGAGCTTCCCTCTCTCCCTCATTAACATTTCTCAAAGAGAAAAACACCACTGTGATGCTCCTATTACAGATCATTCATGAAGTTACTAACTGAGCCGAGACCAGACAGACTCCATCAACTGGGCACACAGCCACTCGCCATTACCCTTTGTTTAAAGTCTCAACTGCCATTCAACTAACATTATTGTATTCCATTCAAGTCCATCAACTTTCCTTAAGAGGAAACAGGAACTAAAACAAATGTGTTACTCAACTAGAAAAGAACTTAATCCATATGCCTCACAAAAAAATTCTTTTAAAAAGATGGTTCACCTTAAGTTTCCTCTGAAATAGCAGTATTAACAGTCGCATATGCTGAAAATGGCGAATCTAATCAAATAAACTAGATAATCATTAAAAACATATAAAAACAAAACCTCAATCTTGATTTAGCAAAGTACCAGACTGCTCTAAGCTACAAAACAGATGAAAGTCTACACCACAGTCAGAGGAACCAAGACCTCAAGCAGCCTAAGGGAGCATGGGGGGTTGGGGGTGGGAGGTGGAAGATAGGGGGGAGCCTCTGGGGAGAATAGGGCAATCTTCCAAAGAGCCATCCATGATCCTAGGCTTGACTATTCTAAAATTTAAATGAATTTAAGAGATGTGAGACAGTGCTCTGTACTCTTTTCAAAGCGTTTGGTTATAACTAAAGGAAACCTTTAAACTAGCCTAAGCAAAAAATGAAATTAATTGAAAGGATACTGGAGTATCTTAAAGAATCCAAAGGCAGAAAGTACAACAGGCCATATCTGAAAAGTCTTTAAGCACCAGGTTTCTAGTATGCATGTGGATGGCTGCCTCTATCTCCAGAGGTGCATTTCTCATCTATACTTCTTTCAGGATTAATCTACTTAATTATCCCTCTCTGCAAACTGGCCTTCACTGCTTCCTGATATATGATGAGCCTGAACTTGACTGTACATGTGAATTTATATGTGTAAAGTTCTCTGAATTCAGGTTATCTCCTTGTTCCCTAAAGGCTTAGATCTCAGTCACAATCTCATATTCTCATAGGAGAAACTGATTTGTCCAGTTTGAGTTAGGTGTCCCATTTCGGCCCAATAAGCTGTTACAAGAAAGGCTAGCTCACAGAGTATAGTTTAGGGACTATATTCCTGACTCCTCAAAAGTTATATAATACATGACACGCCTGGCTGGCTCAGTCAGTAGAGCATGTGACTCTTGATCTTGGGATCATGAGTTCAAGCCCTACATTAGACCTAGAGCTCACTTAAAAAAAAAAAAAATTAAGTTATATAATACACTAAGCAATAAAGCAATCTCTATGTTCAGAAAAGCTTAAAATCACAAACACAAAAAAAG